AAACTTCATGAAGGTAAATGTCGCTTTTGTAACTTAAAGAGTAAAAGCTCTGAACATTTGCTGTGTGACTGTGTTCCACTATTTCATAAACGATGCAGATATCAAGAAATAAGGGTCTGATAAGACCTTGGGAAATTTGGGCTGCTGCTCCCAAACAGGTAATAAATTTCATAAGGGATGTATTACCTTGTTGGGATAAATGCTTACAACAGTAGTAGTAGTTACTCAAATAATAGTGACTTACCACTACGTTATGGCATAAATAAAAAGAGGATACACCACAATAGATCAAAGTAATGGTCGCGGTGGTATTATGTCCCCAACATTGGGAAAAAAAGGCACGAGTCTTCTAAATAGAGAATGTACAAACATGTCCATCAAATCTAGATTCATCATTCAAGATTCCATCAGAATCAATTAGCTGGAAAACTTTTGATTACTTCCTGAACAACCTACAGTCTTGAAAGAATATTTGAATTTTTAAACAGTTGGACGTCCTCAGAACTTGAAAAATATCCAGAGAACTATACTAATATCTTCGTCTGTATGGAGATCTTTCGAATATTTCCTGCTATCAAGGAAGGATGTCTGAAAGAATATCCTGTAACTTACGCAACGTTTCCTAAACATCTACAAAACTCCCTTAAGTTTTACAAAATTTCCTCAACTTCTTCATTCCCTAAATTTATTCCATTTTTTTTTTCCAATATCTCTTAATTCTACGAAGATCTCTGAACATTTTTCACTTCTGGAAAGACACCTAAGATATCTAAAATTTTTGAACATCTAGAAAGTTCCTTGAAATTTATCGAGGTTCCCAAGACCTCCAAGACATTGAGCTTTTTGAAGTAAGCTATCTGATAGACTACAATGAAGTTCCCTAAACTGAAGCGAGAATCCTTGAAGTTCTTAGAAGTTTATTGAACTATTTTTAGATCTTCTAAAAAAATCCCCAAACTTTTTTCAAAATTCCTTACACTTGTATGAAGTTTTATGCAGCTTCTTAAAATACTACAAAATTCGCAAAACTTCTATAAAGTTTGCTGCACTACACTCATGCTCTACCGTTGTCTCTCTCACACAACACAAACGGTAGAATAACATTCGAGCAAAAAGAAAGTTATCAAATAACTATCATATGACATGTGTGATTTCGTTCTAATTCCTCAATTTGGTGTAAATTAAAGCTTTTCTGGTCAGAAATGTTATTACTAGGCCATCATTGCTTACTATTTTTAGAATTCACACAAGTACAACATCAGCAGTTCTTATTATGAGGAAAACTAAAACACATACATTTGTAATGGTCTTCGGCGACAGTGTCGTATGACAGAGCATGTCATATGACATTTTAGTTTGGTACTGTACTATGATAGCTTGTTTTGCAAGTATCGGAGGCAAAGGCAGTCGATTATCACAGAAAATGTGTCAACTACCGTGACCACTTACAAGACTGCTTCTAGGTTTCTCGTTGATTTTTCTCGAAGTTCCATGAACGAAATTTCTTGAATTTGTACGTAATTTCCACAATTATTCCAAGTCCATGAGGCTTCAAATAAGTGCCCTGAAATTATATAGAGGTTCCCGATCATTAATGAGCTGCCTTGAAATAACATAATGTTCCCTTAACTAAATTTTCTACTTCTACTTCCAAGTTCCTTTTTTCTACAATTTTTTTTCCGAAGATCTATGATGTTCCCTGAATTTCTACTTCCTTAATTTCTACGATGTTCCCTGAACTTTTTAGAAGTCCTTGAAGTTTTACGAAGTTAAAAAAAAATCCGTGAGCTCATCTCCAAGTTCTAGATTCTGAAGACGTCTTATTATGCCATCGGTTGGTGGCCAGTTGGGTAAAAATAAATGCTACAATTTGTACTAAATATTTTTGTCCTTCGAAAAGCTTCTACAAACTTAGATTTTTTTTTGCCTAGATGGGCACCACCGTTGCAGCAAAATAAAATGTGTAGAACCTTTTCGAAAAAAGTGTGTAATTTCGTAAAAATCAATATTATTCGGTTTTCGGCACACAAAATAAAATATCATTTTGTTTTTACTAGCGACATATGTTGCGAAAATCAACCTTACATTCTACTGATCATTATAGAACAAAAGTTGCAACATGTCAAAGTTGACAATTTTGTATGAAACTCGTCCTTTAATACTTGTATAATATCGAACAGCAGTTCCCATCCTCCCTAAAACGCTACGTCATCTATACATGGTCCCTTACTAGAAACCACCGACATTCCATGAACGATTAAAAGTTGTGAAATATTGGGTGCCAGAAAGTTTGTTTATATTTTAGTCTCTATGTATAGTCATCTAATTTTAGACCAAGCAGATGTCTGCGAATGGTTTCGTACCTTGTTATTCACACGATGTTAACCAAAAAGAAGGAAAGTAAGCCTCCAGATGGTTATATACGTGAGTGCTATAAATAGCCGTTCAACATTTCAACGCTAGAGCATTGAGTAGGTTCGGTGGTAAAATTTATTTTTACCGAAAGATAATTATATAGGGTCAGTTGGGGTAAAGTGGATCCGACTGTTACACTATACTAACGGCAATTCATTACAAATCTTATACCGAATTTGTTTTTAAATTAGATCTATTTGATGAATCAAAAACAAATGTGCTTTAGAGTGTCTTCTCTTTAACCATAGCCAATTTGTTCATGATTGACTGAACTTGATGAGGAAACATCTTTTTAAAACCCTTAAAAATTGCAGGTTAAATTATTGTTTTTCAAAACGTCCATCCAATATTCATATTGGAGGACAATAATATTAAAAAATAATTCCTATTAATGACGTATAATTTTGGGACTAAAATCATTGATTTATTTGACCCCTTGACACACTTTGCTCTATAATACTCTGTTTATCAATCGCAACGTCAAATCCGTTATACATTGTAGCTTCCTTACAATTTATAACACGATTGATCATGACCTCAGCATGCACAATCATGTCACAAATACTTTTATAACATCATCTTGGCAACTTAACATAGAAGATATTTTTGTGGTAACTATTAAATACGCGATCAAGTGTTCCAAACATCTGTGCTGAATTGTAACCACATGTTATTAGGGCCTCCCTTAGCTCAGTCGGTAAAGGCGCAGCTACAAAGCAAGACCATGCTTTAGGTGGCGCTGAGTTCTATTCCCGGTTCGATCAAGGAATTTTTCGGGATAGAAAATTTCTCGACTTCCATGGGCAAAGAGTATATGATTGTAGCAAAATGATTTAATGGTTCTCAGAATTTAGTAAAAATTGGTTGTTTTGTTCCTTATCGCAAAATATTAGATTCGTATTTTTTTTATCATTAGGGTGACCATTTCCATGTTAGGGTGGTCCAAAAAATAGACTTTTTTCAAAAATGAATTTTGAACCATGAGCCGATTTCAAAGATCAAAATATCAAATGAAGGGTAATTAAAAATACTTTCTAGGAAAAATATAATGATACAAAAAAATTGAAATTTTGTATTGAAAAACATTGCTTGTATTGGTTTTTTTAATAGTTTTCATGGTTTGTTATTTTTTACACAACATATATGTAAAAAATCAGCTATGTGTTTTTTCGTTTTTGAGTTATATTTTTTTGAAGTTATCAAATTTTGGGTTTTCGCTCAATACTCCTATGCGACTGGGAAAACCCAAACTTGAAAACTTCATAAAAATGTAATGGTAATAACGATTAGGTTAGGTAGTAGTGTTCAAATGTTCAACAAGGTTCCTATCTAGACATGACTATCAGTTGATTTTCAGAATAAAATTAGTTTAAACATAAATTTGGAGGGGTGACTTGCAATACCCAACATTTAAAAAAAAATATGCAAGTTAAAAAGCACAATAAATTTGTATAAGTTTCTGTTCGTGCAAGCAACGATTACCGCCTTTACCCTAAGCATAACACAGTTATTGAACCTGTCCATAGATGTCACCACTTGTCCATCTATAATTGTCACTTTTATCATGTATCTGTACGTGTAATGTGCTGTACTTGTGTGTAAAAACAAACAATAAATATATAGTTTAATGCCTCCGCCATGGCAGGACGGCTAATAAATCGGTCTGTTTCAATTAATCACACAACGTAGACAATTGGATCCTACCGTGCGCGATCATTTTCTTTTTATGAGAATAGCCACTCATTAAATCTCTAATTTTTGGGAAAGTTCTGTTATCAAAGGTACTTTTTTTTAAATATATGTAGCGAGAAAACTTAAAAGTGTTGCAAGTCACCTCGTAACGTGGGTTGATCACCTTTTCGTGGTACTTGTTTACGATTCCTCTTCCTGACTACTTCAAACTAAGGGAGCAGGATTTTTCAGTAATCAAAGGAACACATCTTAGTCCTTGTTACGTTTTATGCCATGTTGATAGTGACAAGATTCGACTTTGTCCACCGAGGATTATCTTGAAACAAGGAAAAAATAAGTTAGTTAGTCGTCATCTATTTGATTTATAATTTCCTATTCGTTGTTCCCTAGTTTAAAGTGGTTAAGACTAGGGTTCTGATGCATGGTCATCGGTGTCATTGCTTAATTTTGTTGCTAAGGAATCCAATTTTGACTGACAAAGGGGTGCGTCACTCTTCGAATGGTATAAATAGCGGTAAACCTTTCAATTAGAATCGACTCCTTGCGATAAAAGCAAGAATGACAACTGTATTAAAACCGAGAACTTCATAATTTCTCAATAGTGATGGAGTAATACGACATTCACTAAACTAAGGACACGGGATATACTCAAATAACTGGTCGCAGTGGTTTTATATACCGAACCTAGAGAAAAAAGTCACCCCATGTGGGCCTAAGGCTGAAAGTCTCGTTAATAAAGGAAAAAAAAAAAAAAAAGTCACCCCATGCTTCTAATTCAATCACTTTTACTGCATACTCACGGCCTGAGTTGGTGGTCGAAAGTATCCAATCATAAAATAGTTGTGAATAAAATCTACCGAAAATACTAACATTGCAACTCTATACAATTTCAGACCTTCACTGCTTGGTGCAACAGCCATCTGCGAAAGGCCGGTACATCAATCGAAAACATTGAAGATGATTTTCGCAACGGACTCAAACTCATGTTGCTGCTGGAGGTTATTTCCGGCGAAACCCTACCAAAGCCAGACCGCGGCAAAATGCGTTTCCACAAGGTATAAACTAGTGTTCAACTTTGCATTGTGTTAATATTTGATGAGTATTTTTTTATAGATTGCCAACGTCAATAAAGCACTGGATTTCATCGCATCCAAGGGTGTCAAACTGGTATCCATTGGAGCAGAGGAAATTGTTGATGGCAATCTGAAAATGACTCTTGGTATGATCTGGACCATCATCCTTCGGTTCGCCATCCAGGATATTTCAGTTGAGGAAATGACTGCCAAGGAAGGTTTGCTGCTTTGGTGTCAGCGTAAAACTGCCCCCTACAAGAACGTTAACGTTCAGAACTTCCATCTCAGTTTCAAGGTACGCTCATTGTAACTGTTTCTTAGATTAAGGTAGGGCGATGGACCCTATATTAGTATATATATTGTACTACGTATTTTATTATATTTTTTCTTATTCCTTTCCTCAGGATGGTCTAGCATTCTGTGCTCTGATCCATCGCCACAGACCAGATTTGATAGATTATTCCAAGCTTTCGAAAGACAATCCACTTGAGAATCTGAATACCGCGTTTGACGTTGCCGAAAAGTTCCTGGATATTCCACGAATGTTGGACCCAGACGGTTAGTATTACTCTTTCATAATAACAAATTAGAAGAAACGTAGTAAAAGCATACTTAACAATGCAACATCAAATGCTTCATTGCGTAAATCGGTGATGGGATATTGTATGAACAACTATGTTTTACACAATTTTTATCTAGATTTGATCAACACACCAAAGCCAGATGAACGTGCCATTATGACTTATGTGTCGTGTTATTACCATGCTTTCCAAGGAGCTCAGCAGGTTGGATATAGTAAACACATGTCACTTCCACTTAAATTACTATAATTAGGAGGTACCGCGCTTTTGGGTTTGACTAACCATGTTTTGTTCAGCTAATAACAGCTTCAATGACATCGTGGGTGTCATCCCTGTGGTAATACAAATGTACCCGCCTGTGTTTTGTTTTTCGCATGAAACTGATTAGAAAAGAAACAAGCGTTTATGTTGTTGCACTGCTGAATAATCTATTGCTCTACATCTGTAACTAAAAATGAGCAAAGGTAGGTAAATTTTCATCAACTCGGAAAACTATTGCGAAGGCTGACGTACTTGATGACACATTTTTGTATTGGACTGTTTCATATGGGATTTTCTAGACTGATGTTAAGTAAAGGTATTTCTTAGTTCACTTGCTTGGATAGAAAGAGTTTTTGTGAGAATGGTGAAAAAAATCCATTGCGGTGGAATAGAACTCTTCCCAATTTGCAAGACGGCGCTCTGCCAAAATGCTACGGTATACTTTACCTGTTCCATTCACTCTTTTTACATTGTTTCCTGAATTTGTCCCGTTGTACATTACTGGTTTCGTCAGCTCATGATTTATTCTTCTCCTTAATACAAGTACGGAAGCGAAGTTCACCAGACCTACAGATCTTGTGGAGCCCGTAGTAAACTACTGTATCTTGCTCGGTTCCCTCAACGAACATCTACTTAATCATAGACGTATTCACATTCAATACGACTATTTCAGTTTCACGTTTCAGCCTGGTGTAATGCCACCGCCTGGAACTTTCTTTCAGCGAAGCAGATGAACTGCTTGGATTTATCTAAGATTGCGCCCCGCACTAAAAAAAACTCGTATCAAAACACGTAGCGCAATTTTGAACTGGACGAAGAGAAGACCATCGCATGAGTATGATTGAACCAGGAGGCAGGGAAGACCATCGCCTTAACGAAGTCCTTTACGTGTTTCAAACGAGTTCGATAACGCACCCCACATTTTCGCATATCAGTCTGGTCAGTTTTCTGGGAAACCCGTTCTCGTCCATAATCTTCCATAGCTCTTCACGGTCACTAGTATTGTAAGTGGTCTTTAAATAGATGAATATTATTTGATAATCGCGATACTTTTAGAGGATTTGCCGCAACGTAAAGATTTGGTATTTTTTCGATCACACCCCTTCAATTCAATTTCCCAAAAATCTGCTTGATAGTGGCGATAACCGACGATGATCTGGGAATGCATTTTGTAGATTGCGTTGAGTAAAGTGATCGCTCGGTAGTTCTAGCTCGTCAGCCTTTTTGTATCTTGGGCCCTCTTATTCACTCCTCCGGTAGCTGTTCTTGTATCCTAGATCATGACCATCAGTAGGTGTAGACATGAAACCAATTTATCGGGGCCCTTTTTAGGAAGTTTCGCTCCTTTTTTATCCTTTCCAGCTGCCTTGTTCTTTAGCTGTTTAATTGCATCCTTTACTACTTATCGTGGTAGTTGGCATGTCTCCCTCGTCCGCTGGATCGATGAGCCATTCATCCTTCTTTCTTGGTTCTCCGCCATTCAGGTGTTCATCGTGTACTGCTTTCACCTTTCGATCAGCTCACGTTCGTCCGTCAAAATACCTCCATCCTTATCCCGACACATTTCAGCTTGCAACACAAAACTGTTGCGGGCTACTTTGAGTTTCTTATAGAACTTACATATTTCTTGAGAACGACACAGCTTCTCCATTTCTTTGCACGCTGAGCTCATTCCTTTGGTGCTTCTTATCCAGGAAAAGATGAGTGCTGTATTCGCTTTTGTTCCTATCGCTCCAGATTTTGACGGGACATCTCGCCCACACTGCAACATTCTAGTATTAAACCGTCTGACTGATCCCGTCGAACCAATCGTTTCGTTGATTTCTATCCACGAACTCGAACCCAATGTTACGTTGTTAATGCCTGCTTTGACACTACTCCAGAAGTCCTTCGGTTTTGAGTGTAACCAGTTGGTAGTACTTCGGGTAGCTCGAGTCGTTCCAGATTGTACCGACCGTCGTGGCGGGTATCCCCGGAATATGCAAAATAACCTTGAAATGAATCATACGCACTACTATGTGCTACTGATTTTAAGTTGCTGTTGAGAACACGCAATACAAACGAAAAGGGTGCCGAATAAAAACAAGTTTCTAACTATAGTCATCATCACCTGAGAAGTTTGGAACGTTGTCAAAATGTTTTCAATCATGTTGAGCAATGATAGTTTTTAACTTTACCCCCCACCCTCACCTGGACAAATATCGATACAATTTTTTTTTAATGTGTATCGATCATGGTCACAAGAAAAATACCCTCTCCCCCTGAACTGTCCACTATGGACAACTTTTATGCCGATAAAATGCTCCGCGATCGCTGCTCGACACGAATACGTAAAATCTCTTATTAAACCATTTTGCAACCATAATTTCAAAAACTTCAATGCTCACCCGAGCAAAGTCGGTTAACAAAATTAAAGCAAATCGATATTAAACTTTGCAGTTCCTATCATAATGAAAACTCATTTTGATTTAAATTGTCGCGACAGAAGTCTGATATCATAGTGTGCTTTCATAATGCAGTCAAGACTTTTTAAAATGAAAGCAACTTAATTTGATGTTCTGCTGTTAACGTCTTGCTTAACATTTAAATTAAGTTCATCTGTTTATTTGTTTTGTTTAACACATTTTAGGTCATTCGTGACTTGCCCGGGGTGAGAGTTAAGCTCAAGTCTTCCAGCGGGAGAACCATGGATGCTAACCATTTACTCCAGGCTTTTATTCAGTTATACATTATTAATGCAAAATCAGTAATCAAATTGATTTAATTGAAAGCAGGATTAGTTTTCCGTTTGATTCGACAGTTAGGCCTATTCTGCGCGGCGTGTGAGGTGAGGTGACAGTGAAGTGATGGTGAAGTGACAATTGTCACCTCACCTCACACGCCGCGCAGAATAGGCCTAAGTGTAAAATGTTGCTCTCATATTTGCTGTGTTAACCGTTAAGTCAACCAAAATGATATCAACTGGAGTATTCAAAATAAGTTACATCATAACAGCAAATTTTGATTTCAATTTGATCTCCAGCTTTGCTCGGGCATCCAGTCAAGTTTATTACAGCTAAAAAAAAAACTTATGGCCGATATCGTGACATGCTCTATTACCGTGGGTTTAAGGACGCTTCAAGTTTAATTCAGCTAGAAAAAAATTAATTTGCATTGATTTTTGTTTCTTTAAGCGTGATTGTATATATTTTGTATACAAACATTTGCTTTACAATATTTTTACAATCTAAAAAATAATAGAAATTGGAATATTTTAACATAATACAATTACCTAATACCGCGTACTTGAATCATCCCTATGTTCAACAAATGGAGGTTATCATGAATAGATCCTCTGTTTCTAACGTTGCCCAGAGCCTTGTTCAAGTGATCTAGAATGTAAAGGCCATTTAGCTGTTGCAATCAAACCACGGTATTAGGAACTAATACCTGGTTTTTATTCTATAAATATGTAGTTTTGTACGTGTGTGTGCAACCAGTAGTCAAATTTGTTATACCTTAGTAAAGATGACTCGATATTCTAACGTAAAAAAAAAATCAATACATCGAAAACTATTCAAGTTAACTGTCAAATTACGGTATTAGGTGCTGCGCGGAATAAGAGCTAGTCACGGTACTATATTTTGGATCCTAAAAATTGTTCATCCGCTTTTATAACAGAGCTCAAAGGCTATAAGGCTCATTAATAACGGTTTCAGTGATGTTGCAGCATACGAAGTAAACTGGATAAAAAATGTAATTCAAATGTTATGCTTAAATATCTATCTAACAAAAGTTTGAAAGCGTGTGTTGTCTTATAACCTAATTGATGTGTGTTTTTGCTTTTACCCTTTGCTGACTGTACCAAATAGATCTGCAGAATACCGCAATGCCAGATGAACGGGCTGTCATGACCTATGTGTCATCCTATTATCATTGCTTCAGCGGCGCACAAAAGGTCGGTTTGTTGTGTTCAAACCAGCTTGGTAATTTAAAATAATAATATGATTTATTGTTTCCCTTATTACCTGTTGATTTTAAAAGTTTTCCATTTTTTGTTTCTTGTTTTTTTAACATTGATTTTAACGGCAATTACTTTCAATTTATGCACAACTATTTCATTTGAGATCTATTTCAAGTTGCTGTTGACCGTGTCAATGTCAGCTTTGTGCAGCTTTGTAAAGATACGATTAATGTCACTCGAACACCTACCTAAATTTTCATTAAACCATAATATTCAATAACTTATATTAATAAACGTTACCCATTATAACATGTTATGCTTCAGGCGGAAACAGCTGCCAACCGTATTTGCAAAGTTTTGAAAGTCAACCAGGAAAACGAACGACTTATGGAAGAATACGAACGGTTGGCTAGTGACGTAAGTTACTTTTGAATTGTTCCTCCGATTACCAAATGACAATTTTTTTTTATTATATTACTATATAGTTGTTGGAATGGATTCGACGCACTATGCCATGGTTGAATTCTAGACAAACCGATAGTACCCTAGCCGGTGTGCAGAAAAAGCTTGAAGAATATAGAACTTACAGACGCAAGCATAAGCCACCACGGGTTGAGCAAAAAGCTAAACTGGAGACCAACTTCAACACACTGCAAACGAAGCTGCGTCTATCGAATCGTCCAGCTTACATGCCAACCGAGGGAAAAATGGTTTCCGACATCACTAACTCCTGGAAAGGTTTGGAACACGCAGAGAAGGCTTTCGAAGAGTGGCTCTTGGCAGAAACTATGCGCCTCGAGCGGCTGGAGCACTTGGCCCAGAAATTCAAGCATAAAGCCGATACGCACGAAGATTGGACAAAGGGCAAGGAAGAAATGCTGCAGTCTCAAGACTATCGTAACTGTAAGTTAAACGAACTTAAAGCTCTCAAGAAGAAGCACGAAGCTTTTGAATCCGATCTGGCCGCCCATCAAGATCGTGTTGAACAAATTGCGGCTATTGCTCAAGAGTTGAAGTAAGTATTTATGTTTAAGCTAACAATTGAACTGGCTGTTCATAAACTACGTATACAGTTTTTGGAAGATTTAGAAAACCTATCCGGCGTAGACAAGTCGTTCATACTTAAAAAAATATATTCCTTCTTAAACTGTCTACGTAGCTTGTAAACAGCCCCCTAGGGAAAGTGGCGCAAGATAAGCTATGTGTCTCAAGACCACAGATTTAGACAATTAATCATGTTTTGTTGTTTTTGATATCATCCACATCCAGAGGACCAGTCACTCTCGAATGTATGGGAATGGTAGGAAACCATTTGGAAATGTATGAAAATTTTCAGTTTTTATTCATTATCGTCTTTATTGGCAGTTTTAGATGCACAAAAATTGCACGAGTACATTACTATGGTGATAAGGTAAACACTCGTTTATTTGTTTCCTTCTGTGAAAGCATGTTTAGTCACAAATCGTGGATTATCTGATATTCTCCATACTGCAAAAATGATTTTCCTACCACTGAAGGGGCGACATCTCTTGGATCTTCAGTATAGCTACTACTCAAATCATATAATTAATAGATTAAAAGCATGGAAGATTTTTGCAACAGATGTCGCTAATAAAAAAAAGCTGCGGCGATTTATTTTGTATGAAGAAAACCGGAAAATATTAATTTTAACAAAATTTGGACTTTTTCTGAAAAAAATATTTTTTTTTGTTTTCGCTTCCATAATTGATATTTTTGGAAAAATGTTCAAATCTCCATACATTATTTTTTCGGTTAACTTTTTTACCCATACGAAGGTTGTGAGATGAAAACATGGCAGCATACAATGTTTCATTGGCTACCGTCAGTGTTTATAAGTTTTACCAATACCTATAACGGATCACTGTATGCTGTCAGTTTTGATCTCACCACTACTGACAGCATTACTCCACCATCTTAGAGACGGACAGTTAACCGGATGATGTATAGAGATTTGATTTTTTCCTTATTTCGTAAAAAATCTACATTTTTCAGTTTTCTGCCAAAGTAGCAATTCCATTTGACCTGTTATTTGAGGGAGTCATGACTGTTTCGTTTTGGATCAATGTGATCGTTCCAGAATGCACTTTTGCGTTTTCACGGGGAAAATCGACGTCAGCAAACGAAGCTGCTTACATGCCAACCGAGGGAAAAATGGTTTCCGACATCACTAACACGCAGAGATGGCTTTCGAAGAGTAGCTATACATAAACCATGCGCCTCGAGCGGCTGGATCAGTGTTTGTTTACGTTTCACGAAGCACCAACTTTGCCCCCCCCCCCTCCTGTCTCTTGTAGCGTATTTTTAAACATGGATGGTCCCCCTAAAAAGCTACTTCATTTATGCATCTTTCCTAATCAGGTCAAAACCTGCATACCATATCCAACGGCAACGATGCATGAACTTCGCAGCCTTCCCTTGTATAGTTTTCCGAAGTACCTTTTTCCCCAGAAAAGATATCCGCAAAGCCGCTTGGATATCACCTGCGCAACAATCAGAAAACCAAACCGTCCACGTTCTAATCGACAAGAAATTCTTCTCCGACATAATCAATGTCCGCACGTATCGCAGTGTGATCATAGATTTGGACCACTACTTAATTACAGTATGCATGCGGTCCAAACTTTCGACGGTGTACAACACTCGTCATAGTCGGACGCCCAAACCCAACATCGAGCAACTTCAGGATGACAGAGTTGCCAAGGGATACCCACATCGACAAGCTCGGAATAGACAAAACTAGATTTCGAACATTCAAAGTGTTTTTTATGTTACTTCATACGCGAAGTTAACGATTTTCAGAGTTGGTTGGAAATGCTAACATGAAGCTTTAGTGTGATGATTTATTAGCTAGAGAATGATCTTTAGAAGAGGGTAGGTGGATAGTTCCGTTAGAGTACGGCAGTATGAAAATTGAATAGAAGTTGAAAATGAGCGAAGGGCCATTAAAGCGACAGTTTTTCAAGATAGACGCACATTTTTGCCTAACCCGTACGATGTACGCGGGGTCTTGAAGTATGTCTCCAAGTCCACAGGCAAAAATGTGCGTCCCTCTTGTTGCTCATAAACTGACTGCGGCTGTGGAATAGTTCTAGCGACGTTTTCATCACTACCTAAAGCCCCACGTTGCGAGAGCATTTCCAGTCGATGGTGTGTTATAATGCAGTTCTTCTTTACCCAACTATTGTGTTGCTCCTCTCGTCATGACCAACGTGATCATCTCAGAGAGAAAGCAGTAGGGTGGTTGTTGCGTGCTGTACCATCATCAGCATTGTTGACGGCTACTCCCGCCTTGAGTTGTTACATTCAAAGTGTTTTTTTATGTTACTTCATACGCGAAGTTACCGATTTTCAGAGTTGGTTGGAAATGCTAACATGAAGCTTTAGTGTGATGATTTATTAGCTAGAGAATGATCTTTAGAAGAGGGTAGGTGGATAGTTCCGTTAGAGTACAGCAGTATGAAAATTGAATAGAAGTTGAAAATGAGCGAAGGGCCATTAAAGCGACAGTTTTTCAAGATAGACGCACAGCCTCCAGCATGCTTTTGCTTTATTGCTGCGCATTTACTGATAGAATTAAGGGATGCCCAATGGCTAGAGTGTTGTTCACCACCGAAAAAAAATATTCATATAGTTTCCATTGGGAACGCACATAATATTTTTCCAATAACAAAATTAATGATTTTTATCTGAAATTCACATAACATTCATATGATCACATGAATTATATGTGATAAATCACATAAATTTCATTGGACCCATAAGGTTCATGTGATTTTGTAGTGCGATTCCCAATTATGAGATCACATGAAAGTTATGTGAAGTTCTAATGGATGTTTTTAATGGATTTTTCATTGGAAATATGATTTATTTTTTGAGTGTGGGTAATTGTCAAGATTTGGTAGGAGACGATATTAACGAAAGAGTGGATAGAAGGTGTCGTATGCCCAATCTGCCAAGAGCGATAAGGTGGATTACTGCAACTACTACACGATCACAGTGCTGAGTGCCGCCTATCAAGTTCTCTTCCAAATTATATGCCGCCGCCTGTCACAATTTGTAGAGATGAACTAGCCTACGGCTAAAAATCTCTATAATAAAATTTGTCACCATTTATTCCTCGATTTGGCAGATTTTATGCATGAGTATGGACTTCCGGATAAACTGACGCGATTGTTCAAGGCGACGATGGATCGAGTGATGTGCGTTGTTCGCGTATCGGAGGCACTCAAGTCCCTTTGAATCTCGAAGGGGGTTACGGCATGATAATGAACTTTCGAGTCTGCTATTTAACATCGCGTTGGAAAGTGTGATAATAAGAGCAGAGATAGACACGAGTGCAAGGAATAAAAATTTCTCCAAATGACAAAATGACAAGCGATCAACGAACCGAATGATAACGCTATGTCAGAGGTGGAAAGCAATAATGATAAAATTATCTTCCTTTTTTTCATGACAAACGACACAGTTCACTCGGGGCGGTAGAAGGAAACGAGCAAATTGTTGGCAAGCTGCTTCACAAAGTAAAGCTGAAGATGATACATGTGTGTTAATGAGATTTTTTTGTTATGTCTTTTCGCGATTCAGATCAAGCTATGTCATGTCCTCATCCGTGTATATTGCAACAAAACAGGCAAGCAAGATATCATTATCCTTCTACCACTCCGATCGAGCTATGTTACAGATCGAGTTTGTCATGGTAGTCGTAGCAACCGTTTTGTCTGTATCGTTGGTTGCTTTATGTGTTTGGATTCGCTGCACGAATGGCACGATCTCCAACAAGTCCATCCAGTTTCTTAGCTTCGCTCAACGACATGGCATGGAACTTTGAGGCGATTGTGGAAACGTATATCAGAGTGAAAACTGAAGAATAATTATCCATTATTTGTCACAGCATTTAAACATCCAAGTTTGCTGGTTAAAATTACAAATTTTCTTTTTAATTTACATATTTGTGATTTCCACAATTGTAACTCCAGCATAGCTTTAGGTATAGACTATCCTTTGAAGCTGCAGTAATATTACAAGATAATTATGTATATGTTGGCCATCATAAATCTATTTTATTCGGTTTTCGGTAGGTTAGTGGTCGTGCCTCACTTTCCCTTAGATTATTTTCAATGACAAACTGTCATTGTTACTAAAATTGTTATTTTCTGGAACAAATTATTAACCAATACTGTTACATTTACAGCACACTGGAATATCATGATTGCGTTTCAGTGAATGCACGGTGCCAACGTATTTGCGACCAATGGGACCGTTTGGGAGCCCTTACGCAGCACCGTCGCCAGGGCTTGGACGAAGCTGAACGAATCCTGGAAAAGATTGACTTGTTGCACTTGGAATTCGCTAAGCGTGCTGCTCCCTTCAACAATTGGCTCGATGGAGCTCGCGAAGATCTTGTCGACATGTTCATCGTACATACAATGGAAGAAATCCAAGGATTGATTCAGGCTCATGATCAATTCAAAGCAACTCTTGGAGAGGCAGACAAGGAGTTCAACGTAATTGTTGGATTAGTCCGCGATGCCGAAGCAATTGTCAAGCAAGAGCAAGTCCCCGGAGGTCTTGTGAATCCCTACACTACACTTACTGCTGATGCTATCAGCCGAAAGTGGTCGGAAGTACGCGCTCTTGTTCCACAGCGTGACCAAACTTTGGCCAACGAGTTGCGTAAACAGCAGAACAACGAAATGCTTCGTCGACAGTTTGCCGAAAAGGCAAACGCAGTTGGACCATGGATCGAACGTCAAATGGATGCTGTAACCGCAATTGGAATGGGCATCTCTGGTTCACTTGAAGAACAACTACACCGTTTGAAAGAGTACGAACAAGCAGTGTATGCTTACAAACCCAGCATTGAAGAACTGGAAAAGATCCACCAAGCTGTGCAGGAATCGATGGTCTTCGAGAACCGATACACACACTATACTATGGAAACTCTTCGCGTTGGTTGGGAACAACTGTTAACATCTATCAACAGAAACATAAATGAAGTACGTGATGAGCTGATTAAATATCTTAACTATTCAGTAAATTATTATTGATGTTTGGATCTAATTATAGGTTGAGAACCAAATTCTTACCCGTGATACCAAGGGTATCACGCAGGAACAGTTGACGGAATTCCGTTCCAGCTTCAACCACTTCGATAAGAATCGCACGGGTCGTTTGGCACCAGAAGAATTCAAATCATGTCTAGTTTCCCTCGGATATTCTATTGGAAAGGACAAACAAGGTGACATGGACTTCCAACGTATCTTAGCCGTAGTCGATCCGAACAACTCAGGATATGTTCAGTTTGACGCGTTCCTAGACTTTATGACGAGAGAAAGCACCGATACCGACACTGCCGAACAAGTGATTGATTCCTTCAGAATCTTGGCATCTGATAAGGTATTTACTGTATTTTAATACTGACATTGGTTAATATAAACTGGACCTTATTTTCTAGCCTTATATACTACCGGATGAACTACGCCGTGAGTTGCCACCAGATCAGGCAGAGTATTGTATTCAAAGGATGCCGCCTTTCAAGGGACCTAACGTTGTCCCTGGAGCTCTTGATTACATGTCATTCAGTACAGCGTTGTATGGAGAAAGCGATTTGTAATTGCCAACGCAATTCACTGGAGATTGTCACTTAATAGTCAGCAAAACACAACAGAAACAACTCCGGTTATATGTTACATGCCATATATTGTGTTTTGAAAAATGACCTAACAACAACTTTTACGTCGTTTATTTATAATCAGCTCTTACAAACCGGTCATTTGTTGTCTGGTGTCGCGTTTGTTGAATTAGAAATCCATCCAATGAACGTATGAATCAGAATGCCATAAATCGATAAATTATAAGATCGTAAGGAAGAAGAGGACAATGCTACGATGTGTGTGAGTCGAATTGCAATTTGGAAAATGTAATCTTACAAATCATCTATTTATTTTTATTAGCTATCCACTAAAATTATTTTTTAATAAAAATGTGTTTTCGAATCGACAAAACATGCGATTTACACAACAGTCTATTATCTACAAAAAGAAGTATCATCACCCTTTTATTAAAGCACTACAACAGTAAAAGTATGGACGTCTGTCAAAAGTCTATTTTAAATCAACACACAGACGTTCCTAATAGACTATGGTGCCCGTTTGGTCACTGTTGTTTTTGTGTTGACCCAAATAGTTTTGATAATGTAATTGCTCATTTTTTTTTTTAAGGTTGATTTTTGTCCCAGTCTTGTCTTCTGTCGTCACTTGTTTTGTGTATTAACCCCAACTTGTCTTGTGTATTGGGTCAACTTGTGTCTATTGTCCTTCCCCATCTGCTTTTACTCGTTCTGTTACTCTGTCATGACTAATTTCAGTTGCTAGTTGCCTCCCTAAGCGGACCCCCCGCGTCTTATCTCTTATGTTAATTGACTTTCTGAATCTTCTTATTGAAGTTCATTTGATGATTATTTAGTCTTATTTAATAAATAACTAAAATCTCTAATCTACCTACACAATCATAACCCATGCTTGTAAACTAAAATTTTTAACAAGTTTCAAGTACTTTTGGCTTTGATTTTAATTCTGCAGCGTTTGCTGGGGAAATTGGCGATGACGGCGACTCTGTAGCTCTTTACACCTATGAGAAAATCCACAAGCAAACGTCAGACTGTGCGTGAAACATGGCGAACTTTGCACAAACTATCCTTTCACTCCACCGAAAATGCCCATAAGAAACTGTCTATATTTGCTGGAAGAGCAAATTTTTCGACGGTGCCGTCAACGGCTTTACTTCCCATCCGAAGGAAGGCGTGATCAGAATAACAGCCTCAGAACATCCCGGCGGCGCCGACTGGGATTGAACTCAGGCCTGCTGGGGTGAGAGGTAATCACGCTTACCACTACACCACCGGCGCCGTTAAAAGGCTAGTTGTCAGTTGCTTTAAAAGCTAGTTGCCTCCCTAAACGGACCCCCCCGCATCCTAACTCTTTTGTTAATCTACTTAATGTTATTAGACTGTCTTAATTTTCTTATTTAAGTTCGTTTGATGATTATGATTTCTCATTAGCCTTTTTTAATAAATAATTGAAATCTCTAATCTACCTTATCAATTATAGCCCATGCTTTATCAAGTACCTGCACTTATGCATGTAATCTAAAATTTAACGTGTTTCAAGGCACTTGTTTTACTTTGACCTATATTTATTATATATTAGTTCGTCCCAGGTGACACCTTCAAGTGACTAAAATGCTTCACTTTGAAGTTAGTTTCCTAGCTGTTTTTTAGGGTATATGCTCCAACTACGCTCACACGTTTCCACTACGTCGCACCACAAAAATAAGTATGGGTATGTCACAATAGAAGCACGCCACAGTGGAAATCCCGAGCCATAGTTCAAACATTTATCCCAAATCAAAATGAAGCACATATAAGATTAGTTACAATACCATGTACAAAAATGGTGTTTATTTATTAATTTATTGACTTATAACGAATATACGTTGTATACGAGTACCCCGAATACAACGTATGACTCGTCTAATTTTGCATAGCATTTGCAATGTCAAATTAGACGAACTATACGTTGTATTCGGGGTACTCGTATACAACGTATATTCGTTATAAGTCAGGTAATACAGTAGTCATACAGACTGAACTATTTTACTTATAAACTAGAAATTACTTAGTTGAAGATGCTAATTTCAAATAACAGACTGTAGTGGTAATTTTTATACGATAGATGGAGTAGATGAAAGCATAGAGTTGATAGTTCCGTTAGAGTACGGCAGTGTGAAGATTGCATATAGATATTAGAATACCGAGCTAGGACAACTTTTAAGGAAGGTACAAATCGGTTTTTTCATCTCTCTTTCGCAATCTCTCTATATGCAATCTTCACGCTGCCGTACTCTAACGGAACTTTTTAGAGATGAAAAAACCGATTTGTACCTTCCTTAAAAGTTGTCCTAGCTCGCTATTCTAATATCTATATGCAATCTTCACACTGCCGTACTCTAACGGAACTATCAACTCTATGCTTTCATCTACTCCATCTATCGTATAAAAATTACCACTACAGCCTGTTATTTGAAATTAGCATCTTCAACTATGTAAATCGTTGACTTCACGTAGAAGAAATACTAAAACATATAGTCAAAGTAGAAATTACTACTAATCCTATTTCTAAAAAACGTTTTTAGTCCAGTTAAAATCGAATTCGTCACAGACAACATTGAACAAGCGAAGACACGAATCAAAAGGGTTGTTGTAGCCGTAGTTTGTTCTGTGGTATGGGACTGCTATTAAAGCTGAGCTCCGAAACCGTCGAGGAGGAATGTTGAGCGGGATCTGTGCGAGAAGTTCAGGGCAATCGATAGATCCTCCAATGACATCGAAAATAAAAAGCCTCGTCTGACAGATAGTGGTTCCAATCCTATGAGCTTGCAGCGGAATAAGGAGGAAGATTGGTCGGATCGCTCCAGGGAAGTTGTCTCAGTGCAAACCAGAAGAACCTTTTCTGCACCCGTTCAATCGTGAGAACATGAGCTACATAACAAAAGGACCAAATCGGAGCAGCGTACTCCAGAATGCTACGAACCAACGAGCAATAGAGAGTTTTTAAAGCGTGGATGTCGGTGAACTCGGAAGCGTGGCGTGGATAGTTCCGTTAGAGTACGGCAGTATGAAAGTTGAATAGAAGTTGAAAATGAGCGAAGGGCCATTAATGCGACAGTTTTTAAAGTTAGACGCACATCTTTTGCCTAACCCGTACGATGGACGCGGAGACTTGAAGTTCCCCTTTACCAATATCGTACACAGGACCGGGATGAATGATGGACGCTGGCAGGAGTGGCTCGACTGTGACGAGGGGATTAGGGGCTTCCGTGAGATTTGCAGGCGTGCATCCCGGTGACATAAGTGCTGACGATGATAATGTTGATCGACTGGATATGCCATGAACATCCATGTTTGTAGACAAATCTGATGGTGATGAACGGCTGGAAGCGATGGGCATTACCGGAAGTGAATTGTTTGAATCGATTGTGTACTTGCCTGTTGAAGCGGTGTAGAAGACCCCATCTCCGCACCCAAACACAGGGCCGAGACAACTGAAGAGCGCTGGCAGGAGAGGCTGGACTGTAGTGGGGGGATGAAGGTCTTCCAAATCGCTTGATTTATTGCGTCCCGGGCTAGAAGAGATCAGCTCAGATCCATAATGGGAGTAATCGGGGATGATGAAGCTTCCGGAGGTACTAACGGCGTGATTGGTTTTTTGGTCTTCAGAGTGAAACGAAATTTTTGGACCCGTAATCCTTGAACTCTCGGAACAGCAGTCCTTCAGGCCAAGTAATAGGGTCAAGTGCTTTGCTTTTAAGCGAAGGATCGAGTCCTATTTTGAAAGACACGAACGAAAGCATGTTGGTGTCTTTGTCTTTCGGCACGAGCTTCACTACCGGTGGATCACTGTCAATTTCGAGATTGGCTTTCGTCATGGCGCGTACAGCTTCCACAGTGACGTCTGGGCAAATTCTGGACAGATATAGCCAAAATGTTGATTCCAAATCGTTTTTGAAAATGGGAACTGACATAACATTATCCTGCGTTTGTTTGCTCCCAATTTGGCAGTTATCAGGATCCCGTGCAGTTGATTCAATTTCACGGGGACGTGACCAGAGAGAGTTTGTAGCTGATAGGAGTTGCGCAATTGGCTTTGTATTCATTTGCTTAATCTCGGTTCGTAGCTCAGAAATAGCCTTCGAAAGCGCGTTTAAAGGTGATTTCTTATCAACTTGGCTCGATATAACTCGAAAATGAGAGTTTTGAAACAATTCGGCGCAGTTGTCACACATCCAGAACAGGTTTTAACTGTTGGATGTGAAATATGATTGCAACGCACGTGATACTCCAGAGAAGATGATGATTTGGAAGAAAGCTCCACAATAACCGCGGCAAACTACCACATCGATGCCCGTAATCGCCTCACAGCACCTTCCGCAGTGTTTCGCCATGGTAATGCGCCTACGCTTAGATCGTCCGCAAGCAAATTTGTGAGATTCGAGCAGTTAAATCACGCAAGATGCAAAGTTCAGTAGTAGTAGTTTGCACTTTTCACCAGCAGGTGTCGCTTTAAATAAAAAAAATCGGCGTGGAGGGTACAAGGCCTTTGTTGTTTAGGCACACCAATGAAAAAAAAAACACTCGCGGAAAGTGATATTATATCACCACGACATGAAGATCTAGATCGTACACGCACAGATTTTATTAACAGAGCTTAACTGAATGACGTAAGATCGGAATCAAAATTTACCGAGTTGAAAAACACAGAAAATTACAGGAAAAAAAGACCGGGAATTTCCAATACTATACACACAGAGCAGTGATGCTAGAATGCGAACATTGTTCCCTGAGTAATGCTTCAATGAAAACAACAATAGCCGTAGTTGTATAGCAAAGCTTGTCACGGAAATAGAAGAAGCACTGTTGGGCACTTTCTGAAATATTTCAATAGTATAATTCCCGTACAAACCCACCCTAATAAAAATGGTATGGTTAATTTGCTTAACGACGTGTTCTGGGTATCATCCAAACCATTTGTGGAATAGTTCAATGATTTGGGATATCGTTCGTTTATGGTTATTTTTTATTAGGACAAATAAATCTATATGTGTAAAAATAAATAAAATAAGAGTGATTTGCGGAAAACCCGCCAGTATCGCACCAAACGTCAGTGCCTATACGTAAGTGTACTACGACGATGCCGGACCTAAACCAACCGTCTTCAACGCTCCACTATGAAGCATAAGATTAGCCAACGTCCAGGTTAAAAACTAGTCAAGGGGAGGGGTGTTGTTTGCGGGAGAAGTATTGTAATATTATTGGCTCAAAACGCTTTCCACACTCCACATTCCGATTTATTTCGCGGACAACGGAAGAAGGAAATATAAAGCAACCCATTTCTCGATTGATTGTTGCAAAGATTTGCTTTGCACTTCATTTTGAACTTTTGCGCACGAAATAAAACAAAACAAAACAAAACTGCACAACGAAGAGCTCTATAATGGCATGACATTTTTTTCACGGATACCAGTAAGATCATTTATTTTTCATGGTTGCCAAAACAACTTTTTGTGCCTCCACTTATCTATGGAATCTATAGTATCTATAATAAATACGATATGGGGATTTCTTCTATTGTATGAAGAGTTTTGGTTCATTCCGCCTCTGTAATTTATGCAAAATGTTATTATGTACGATGGTGGTCTGCCTTTTGTGTTTCTGATGGTGGTGGTGGTTGCCTTTTGTGTTTCTGCCAAAACATCCCGACGCAACACCCCTCACCATCCCTCTCCAAAGGGGGAGTTTGGTAAAGAGAGATGAAAAAACCGATTTGTACCTTCCTTAAAAGTTGTCCTAGCTCGCTATTCTAATATCTATATGCAATCTTCACACTGCCGTACTCTAACGGAACTATCAACTCTATGTTTTCATCTACTCCATCTATCGTATAAAAATTACCACTACAGTCTGTTATTTGAAATTAGCATCTTCAACTATAAGAAAACAGATGGTATTGTGTGTGGCAGGATAATTTCTCAAAATGGGATTATACCATCTGTTTTCTGTGTATGGCCGTACGACTGCGCCCACTGATTTAACACACGGCGGCTCTTTATCCATGATCCGCTCCTCAAGCCGCTGCCATAAAATACTATCTAAGTTACACACCTGTGTACACGGATAGAAATCTCCTTATACCTTTTGGGCAAATTTATATTGCTGATTATTTATTAAATGTATGAGTCAACTAATAAGCAGACGCCTTGCAAAAAGTTAATGAAGATCATGTGTAAAATGAAATTTATAAGCGGTCACACATACCTTTTATGCATTCTTACTGGACCTATGTGGTTTGTCTTATGTAATGTATAAGGCTGATGTTTTGGCAAAAATGTATAAGTGAAATACATGAATAAAATAATTGATTTTCGTATCGTGTATAACCCTTAATGGGGTGTTTACATTTGTGCGGATTTGCTAGCGCTAGTGTACTAGCCAACTAGCACGAATTTCAGTTGCTCCTGAAATCTCATGCTGCTGGACGCTGATGTCCTGTTTACATTATGCTAGTGAACGTTTTTACTAGCAGCTAGCTCATTAGCGCTAGTGAAATAGCATAAGTGTAAACACCCCATAAGGGCGGGGTTGCAGCGCGCTTATGAGCGGCTCGCTTCGACCGTCACCAAATGAGAATTTAACATTAGCGTGACAATATAATCCCATTTTGAGAAATTATCCTGCCACACACAATAACTTACAATGAGAGAGTTTGGTTTAAAGTATTCCGTAGGAGAAAATTGTTGGTCTAAAAAAAGTAGTTTAATATTACATCCAAATAGCTGAACGTAGGACATACTGCTGGTTGTGTAATATTGTGCTCCTTATAAACATTCCACATTATGCGATGCTAACAAAAATGAACATAGAACATCGCAGCCACGATGTATACTTCCGGTTCCGGCATGGAACGAATTTCACCACATCCAACTGCGAAACACGTTTAGGAGCACTTTTGGTACACTTTCGATCGAACACACTTAATTTTTTTTTCAAAAATAGTTGCGAGTGAACCAACATTATCACCGCGTAAATAAACTAAAATTAAAATTATCACTCGCGATGCCACAAATTTCTGGTCCGGGAGAAAAAATCAAACAACGCAGATAGCGTCAAATCTTCTGTTGCTTGCAAACATGATGAATCATGTTTTCTTTCTCGATTCTAAAACTTCTCGGAAAGCGAGAAAACCACCAATCACACACGTATAACCGTCCGGAAGCTAATCCGGCAAATGCAACCGAAAACTATGAATGCGAACGCACGCACAAAACAGAGAACAAACTTAAAACAACCGTATCCAAAGGCGTTCGAAACTGAACTCATTTACACACAAACAAACAGTATTGTACATATAAAAAGGAATTAAATTCAGAAGCAACTGATAGTTGTGTTCTGGAAGTGTAAGCCGAATTTCCATCTTTTCATTGAACTAACAAAAAAAAGAAGTCTTTTCTTAAGATTAGCTAAATACATTATACATACATCAGCTTGAATTACATTGATCGATACTGTAAAATTGCACTTTTGTATTTATAACAAACACAACTGATAACGATCAAAACAACAAAACAAATCACTCCTCGTCACTTAGAATAATAATATCATCAGCTTCTTCGCTGCTCTGCTCTGCTGAGTTCGCAGGCTCAGGATAATAATTTTCTATAAAATCATCGGAAATGTCCGCTTCACTGTCATTATAGAAGCAATAATCGCTGTCGCACTCTTGTGCTGGTTCTGAGAGTAGATGGAAATGGAAAAACTCTGGGTACATATTGTAATAGCTCCTCAAAGAATGGATGCTGCTTATGTAATATGGTGCATTTCGCCACTGGATCAACAATCGTCGGCAGTTCTCAATTTGCAAGTCCTGTTTAAATGAGCATAAAAGGTAATGTATTTTCACGACTTAATTTACCAAAAAAAAAAACTTACCTTCAGAAAGTTGCAATTTTCCATTATGTATCGAATACTGTTCAAAGTAATGATAGGGGACTCACTAATATCGAGAACTTTCAACTGAGGCAAGCAGGTTGTTACTATCTTTACAGCTTCATCATCAATGGCAGGGCATTTTCGAATAGTGAGCGATACAATTCTCGGGCAGTTGCTGAACAGATCTTGTAATCCTTCTTTCGAAATCTACAAAATAGCAAAAACAAGCCCAAAACCAGCATAGTTAAAAAAAATGCAATGCAATGTTTTTTTTTTCGGTGGCAGATTAGAAATGATTAAAAGATTTCTAACATCCTAGGGGCCATTCAAATATTACGTAACACAAGAGAGTGGTAATGCGTTAAATGCCATATATTAAGTGTAGGAAAAGTGCGTGACAAAGGATGGTCCCCTACATTTTTGCGTTACATAAAATTTGAACAGGCCCTTACAATACATTTAATCGAATCTATCTATTTTTGGCCCTGATACTAATGTTTAAAATTAAACAAGTTATCATTATGAGGATTGTTCACCGTGAATTTCGCTAATGTTTAAAGTTATATTTTAAAATCAAATTTATAAATCCTTAAACATCCAAATGTGGTTTAAAGTCAGTGGAGGGGGACTGATACTCACCAAATATCTCAAATATTTTACGGTACTTTTTTGCTGGATATTTTCTGTAAAATATCATTTTCATCGAAAGTTTTGTAAAACATATGATTTTACCAATTCTCCGCAATCAAAACTGCTAAATTTCCGTAAATTACATAAATTTACCGAAAACTGTAAATAAAAATTACTGATCAAAACTACAACGGGCGTAAGTCAGCGATACTGTAAAAAGTGTGACGAATGTACTGTAAAAATAATCTTTTACAAAAACAAACCGTAGTAAAGTAAAAGATTTTTGTAAACATTACATTGTCAATCTCAGTATTTGCCGCTATTTCAAAGTTGAATTTTCTTCGGTTCTCCGGTGTGAAAAGTAAGTAATTTACTATTTTTGGCTATTTACAATCAGTTAAACCTATGCCGAAAGGTTAATTTTTCAGTGAACTTCTAGACCAATTGCTTTCAGTCACCATGGACGTAAGGCGGCCCAGTTTCCTTATCAAACGCAAAAAGCCAATTTGTGTATGGTTTGTTACGGAGTCAGAAACATCGTCCTTCTTTGTTGAATATTATTTTTGTACACTTAAAACATAAATCACATTTCCGATGTAAAATATCCATTAGAATTTCACATAACTTTCATGTGATCTCATAATTGGGAATCGCACCACGCAATCACATGAACCTTATGTGTCCAATGAAGTTTATGTGAATTTCAGATAAACATATAGTTGAACTTTGACTATATGTTTTTAGTATTACTTCTACGTGAAGTCAACGATTTACATAGTTGAAGATGCTAATTTCAAATAACAGACTGTAGTGGTAATTTTTATACGATAGATGGAGTAGATGAAAGCATAGAGTTGATAGTTCCGTTAGAGTACGGCAGTGTGAAGATTGTATATAGATATTAGAATAGCGAACTAGGACAACTTTTAAGGAAGGTACAAATCGGTTTTTTCATCTCTCTTTACAAAACTCCCCCTTTGGAGAGGGATGGTGAGGGGTGTCCCCCCCCGCCACCACTGGCAAAAAGAGATGAAAACCGACCCGTTCAAGCACCAACTGTGTGTTTGAAACAGTTCTACCGATTTTTACCGCACTTCAATTGTTATTTGAAGGAAGGCATCCAGTCGTAGGTTTGGAAATTGCAACTATTGTGGTAGGGGTAAACAATAGTTGCAATTTCCAAACCTACGACTGGATGCCTTCCTTCAAATAACAATTGAAGTGCGGTAAAAATCGGTAGAACTGTTTCAAACACACAGTTGGTACTTGAACGGGTCGGTTTTCATCTCTTTTTGCCAGTGGTGGCGGGGGGGGACACCCCTCACCATCCCTCTCCAAAGGGGGAGTTTGGTAAAGAGAGATGAAAAAACCGATTTGTACCTTCCTTAAAAGTTGTCCTAGTTCGCTATTCTAATATCTATATACAATCTTCACACTGCCGTACTCTAACGGAACTATCAACTCTATGCTTTCATCTACTCCATCTATCGTATAAAAATTACCACTACAGTCTGTTATTTGAAATTAGCATCTTCAACTATATAGTTGAAGATTTTTTTTTTTTGCTTCGCATTTCAAGCTTATTGCATATCGCATATTAGCTTATTTCGTGCTCTCAACTTAGTGTTCTAGATGCACTCCCACAGTTATTAATTGAGAGCTTTCGATGCCTGTACCATTTTTGCATTAATATGATTGTGTGGCAAGTCCAATCATACTTCTATGCCCAGGGAAGTCGAGAAATTTTCCAACCCGAAAAATTCCTAGACCGAACCGGGAATCGAACCCAGCCACCTCCAGCATGGTCTTGCTTTGTAGCTGCGCCTTTACCGACTGAGCTAAGGGAGGCCCCGTAGTTGAAGATGCTAATTTCAAATAACAGACTGAAGTGGTAACTTTTATCAGTATTTGTACCTTCCTAAAAGTTGTCTAGCTCGCTTTCTACTCTCTATATGCAATTTTCACACTGCCGTACTCTAAACGGAACTATCAATTCTATACTTTCATCTCCTCATCTATCGTATAAAAATTACCACTTCAGTCTGTTATTTGAAATTAGCATCTTCAACTATGTAAATCGTTGACTTCACGCAGAAGTAATACTAAACATATAGTCAAAGTAGATAAAAATAATTAATTTTGTTATTGGAAAAATATCGTGTGCGTTCCCAATGGAAACTACATGAAAACTTTTTTCAGTGTACGAGCGTACGATGATAATATACAAAAAAATAACGTTTTATGAGTCAAACGAATCGTTTGTTTTGTTATCATTTTAATTTTAAGAAAACACATGGAAGAAATAATCAATAAATCAATAAAAAATCATAATTTTGGTACATTCAGGAAAATAATGAATTACAGTTATTTCGGTAAAAATTATACCGAACGCTATTGTAAACTTTACCAATCATTCTGTAAAATTTACAATCCAGTTCAGTAAATTTTGACAGCACAAGATTGAAGAAAATTTAATGTACGGATTGTATGTAATAAAATTACCGAATAGATTACCGAATGTTCAGCTGTTCCATATTCGGTAAAAAATTACAGTAGGTATATTGTAAAAAAATCTTAGTGTGTACACACTTTGATTTTTTACAGTACACTGTAATTTTTTACCGAATATAAAACAGCTGAACATTCGGTAATCTATTCGGTATTTTTTTTATTTACAATCCGTTCAGTAAATTTTCTTTCTTTGTGAGCTGTCAAAATTTGCTGACCTGGACTGTAAATTTTGCTGAATGATCGGTAAAGTTTGCAATAACGTTCAGTATAATATTTACCGAAATGACTGTACATTATTTCTCTGAATGAATGATAAAAAAATGATTTTAATTATTTTTTCTCTAAATAAACGAAAATATTCGTTTGGCTCATGAACATTTATTTTTGTTTTTGTATTTTCATCGTGTGTCCGTTCAAAAATAATATCCTCTCTACTCAGTGTCAGTACACCGCACACAAACTCGCTTTGTTCCTGTTGAGGAAGACATTAGATCGCTAAATGTCGAGTCTTATGTCCATGGCACCTGAAAGCATATGGCCCAGTAATGAAAAAGAATTATACTTCCAGCTAATGGATTGTAGTAAAAACGTAAAGTAGGTACTTACTTTTAACAATGCACAGTGGTCCAGAATGCAGATTTAGCTGGAATGATATGTTTTGAGCCTGAAATTGAAACTTTAGACTAAAAGTCTCTTCTACAAAGTTGTTCCTTATAGTTAGGCCCTCATTTTTATGACAATGAATTCTAGGGTGGTTCCTATTATCATTAAAATCAAAAATCTAACTTTTTTGTTTGAATAAATTAAGGTATACATTCTTCGGCAAAGTTATAGCTGAGCTAATTTCAAGCAACTTTGTTGAAAATAACTTTTTTGTATCTCTTAAATTGGCCGATTTAGAGCTATTTTCTTGAATTGAGTTAGGGTGGCTCTTAAAAAAACAGTTTTTTTGCTCTATTTTTCTTATTTCGAATTTCTCAGCAAATGTGTCTTGAGATAACTTTTAGATATTAAAAAGGCGCAAATTTTTGCTACACAAAGCTTGTCAATATCTTTCGTCGATCAAGAGTTATTGACGTTTTTATACTAAAAATATGCACTTTTCAAATGTTAATATCTCTGGTTGGGGCAAACAAAAAAAAAGTTTATTGGCAGCATTTGAAAGAGCGTATGTTATTCTCAATAATATGAAAAAATTTGAGGTATGTTATTTTTTTAACTCGTATAAAATCAATTTGAATTAAGTCATATTTTTTACTATATTTGAGTATATCTTTTTTATTAGAAGAGATACAGGCAACAAATTCAGCAATAAAACATTCGTCTTAAAGAGTTTTAAAAGTCTCTAGAAGATGACTTTCATGATAAATTTCAAATAAAAAAGTTATTGGCAAAAGATGGATTTCATAGGACCACTCTAATGACAAATTTATATAAAATGAGATAGTACATTTGTTTCAATATTTGGACATTTAGTGTCTTCGAAGAAGTTTTTGTTCTTAAAAATTCCCTTCTTTTGGTGTTTGCAGACGTCAGGGTGGTCCTCAAATTAGGGAATTTTTAAAACTAACTTTTTTGTTTTACAAAATATAAACATGTGTTGTTCAACAAAGTTGTAGTTAAGTTACTTGCAAGCAACTTTGTCGAAGAAAATTTTTTTCTATCTCTTAACGTTCTCATTTTAGAGTAATTTTTCGGAGTTGACTTAGGGTGTTCCTGGAAAAAATAGTTTTTTAGCAATAACTTTTTTATTTGAAAATTCTCATGAAAGTTATCTTCTAGAGACTTTTAAAACTCTTAAAGACGAATGTTTTATAGCTGAATTTGTTGCCTGTATCTCTTCTAATAAAAAAGATATACTCAAATAAAGTAAAAAATATGAATAAATTCAAATTGATTTTATACGAGTTTAAAAAATAACATACCTCCAATTTTTTCATATTATTGAGAATAACATACGCCCTTTCAAATGCTGCAAAAAAACTTTTTTTTTGTTTGCCCCAACCAGAGATATTACCATTTGAAAAATGCATATTTTTAGTATACAAACGTCAATAACTCTTGAT